TAAACCGAGAATGCAGTATCGTGTGAGCTTCAGACATCATCTGGATCCTAAAGAAGACCGGTGGTTCACACGAGAAGAACTCATGAGAACAGCACCTCAAGTAATCGCAGGTTATGAAAGAGCACTCAAGGGGAAGATGCCTGCAGAATAAGAGACTTCTCAGAGGACTCACGAAGTAAAGGAGGAGGGAATGCGAGGATCAGGGTCCTCGGTAGGCCTATGGGGCCCTGTTTGCAGCCTTACCCACCCTAAGTGAAGGCGGAGGTGCCCGTCCTAAGTGAAGGCGGGCCTGGCTTTTTGCAAGAGGCCCTCGACTGTCAATTTCATATTTGGGGTCCAGGCAGTTGCGACGCGCGAGTTGGTTGAAAGAAACACAGGCCGAGCACCGAAGACATTTCCACGGCCTACCGTGCCTTTCCAAAGAATGCAGGCCCTGGGCGTGATTCGCAGCCTCATACAGAGACAGTTGGCGCCCAACCGAACGAGGCCCAGCGGCCCAGAAGCTGCTGCATCCAGGCAGCCTCCTGGGGCCTTCCGGAAGCTTCTGGGCCCAGGCCAGCCTAGCCAGGCTGCGAGAGCTGGCCAGCTCTTCTCTATACCACTAAAAGATACAAAGGGCCCGACGACACGGCCGTCCGCAGGCCCAAGGGAAACTGCAGGAGGGAGCCAACAGGGCAGTGGAACCGGCGCGGGGACGAGGTCGAGGTGGGAACAAGGCAGCGGGCAGTGAAAATGGAGGCGCAATGACGCGGTGTCACACTTTTTCCAGCCGAGCCACTTCGGGCGACCGGAAAGCCAACAGGCTGTCACGAAGGATTTTGTATGTGATTGCAAGGACCTCTACTGATCATCGCCCAAGAGTCCCTGGGGTTCTTCCCTGACTACTCAGTCTGTAACTCTTCTAAGGCCTCAGACACATCTCTCGAACAGAGCGTTGGTGGGTCTGAATGTGTCTGCGGGGCGATGTGTGGGTCACTAGCCTTGGCCAACGCGTGAAGTGGGGAAGGCAATGTAACTACTTCAGCGCGAGTAAGAGGGGCTAACACTCCTACTGGCCCGAGGTGTTTCCCTGTGAGCTGCTCGCAGAAGCACTCCCAGGGTTCGAAGATAAACCCACCACCGTTGGTGAGGCTACCTTCGTGGTGACCTTCTTGCTGCTGCAAGTCCTGGACGTGTGGCCATAGTTGCCACAGTTCATGCATGTGCCCCTGGCAACTCGGTCCCTCCACACCTGGTAATCCAAACCAAGCTTCACCCATGTGGGTGTCCCTTGGTCTCCCTGAACCGTGGACCGTCCTACCTTCTTCTTCTCGGTCCCACTAGCCTTTTCTTTGATGGGGGCCACGACTCCACCATCTGAAGTCTCACTAGCCCCATCGTGCTCTGTCAACTCCCCACGGTCTGGGAAATCGTCAATCTCAGTCACTTGACCATCGTGGTCAACGAACATTAACTGACCCTTCTTCTTCCAATCTTGGGGTAGTCTCTTCCTACCATCATGAGATGCCTTATGCGCAGACCCCAGTTTTGCCTCTATGTCCAGAGCTTTCTTGCTAAAAGAAGCGAAGGTGTGCTGTTCGACATAGGCCTCGTCAACCAGCTTGGTCCTTACCTCTACAGGTAGGCACCTTAGGTAATCCGTCAGGAGAACCTGTTGGTCAAAACACACACCAGGTACCGCGAGGAGGCGTTCTACGGTGTCTGTAAGCTCTTTAACATCCTTGAACCTGCGGGAACAAAGGTTGTTGATAGCATCGGTGGCCTTTTGAGCCCCTTGCGGGTCATGCCACCTGTTGTAGACAGACCGTACAAATTGTTCCAATGTTTGAGCCTCAGTCCAGGCATCGAAATCCTGACCGTAGCCCTGCTGCTGCACTAAGCCATTCAACCAGCGAGTTGCTGACCCCTCTAGAAAGGAGGCAGCCACTACAACTTCCTGCTCTGGCCTTGTGAGCTTGTGCCTCACATAAGTAGGCACAGTACTCACCCAGGCGTCCAAGTCTTCCTCCTTCTTCCTATCTCCAGAGAAGGGCTTGGGACTCATTAGAGGTATAAGGCATCCACTGCATAGGCTGCATGGGCCCAGGGGCTTGCTTCAGCGGCTGCATAGCCACTGAAACAGGTTGTTGCACACTAACCTGGGCCTAGCTTGACAGTGGGACTGTAGTTACCACTGTCGTGGATGGTACGACTGAGACTCTTTGAACCGGACCACTAGTTGCTGCTAAACCACCTGGAGGGGGCATGCCAAACATTGGAGAAAAGGTTTGTCCCGTGGGTCGCAGCATTGTTGAAGGACCCGCGCCTACAGGGGGAACTACAACAAACTGTGGCTGCCTCATCACTGGACGAGGAGCCTGGAGTGCATCCATAATTTGTTTCTGGCCTGCCACTAGATCAGTCAACAGTTCCTGTTGAACTGTCTGCGCTTCTGCTATAGATAGTATAACATTACGTAGCACGCGTCCCGCAGACTCTAATGTCGCCTCATCTAGGTCCTCTAGTCTGCCTAGTGCCTCCATCCTACTCTCTAATCTGGCCTTTCTCATGATTGCTTTTCTTCTCCTCTCTGATGCTTCGTCCAACTGCCGCCGTAACTCATTCTGAATCTCTTCCGCTTTTTGGATTTCTATGTCCTCAGGTGTGAGTAGAGCCGGTTAGCTGACTTGCAAGCCAACAGATTGACTAACTGTACCCGATCCACCTTGTCCAGCCCCTGACGAGGAAGACTGAGAGATAGACTGCGATGTTGAAGAGGCGGAAGCCATTGCAGCCGCTAAGCTGGCTGCTGCGTCCCTATTCCTCCTCGCCACTGCTCTCTCCCTAGCTTCCCTTCGTAGTCTCCTCTCCTCTCCTCTCCTCTCCTCTCCTCTCCTCTCCTGGACCTAACTCCCTTCGTAGTCTCCTCTCCTCTCTTGGACCTAACTCCTACGGTGTGTGTGATCTAAACTAGAAC